GGCTATCAGTATTTTGGCCATCATTAAAAATTGTCCCAGTAAGGGACAAAATCACCAAACTTTATGCTGCAGCCTTGACTGAATCCTGCGCAGGAGCTGTTACAGCACAGAATCACAACTCAGAAGTCAGTAGGAGTTTCTCGTATCTGAGGGCAGAATTTAGTGTCTTCTGCTGTTCCAGGCTTGGTGTTGGGCTCGTTCCTAATCATTGAGGAGGGTTCTGGTAGATGTCAAGTGAAGAGAAGAATAGAGCATGCATCCTTCACCACTCAAGCCAGACAATGAAATTAGAAAATGGCACTGAGAGTTGCTGTGAGAGAATTCCCCTGGATTCCTAGAGGAAGAATAAAACAAGAATGTATTGGTTAAAAAAAAAAAAAAGAGAGAAGATAAAAAAATAGAAAAGAAAGCAGAAAGGAAGAGGGGAAAAAGAAAATAAATTAGAGAAACCTTGCCAGAATCCTCCTCAGAACCTATCTAATAATAAAGTCCGACATTAAAAGCTGTATTGTCTTTTTACATAAAGACGCCTGTACTTAGTGTTTGGTCTTAGTTTCTGGTTCTGCATTTTTCAAATCTCTTACCGAGCATTTTGCATGCATATGATGTTTGCAGCACTACGCGCTCTTATTTGAAGACTGTTTTCAGAAGTCATTATTGAACTATAGGATAAAAAGGTATACGCATAATTACGTGTTAAAGAGAATAAATATGTTCTGCTAGATAGTTAACCAGGTGAGGTTAAACAAGATAAGATGAATTCTGGTCTTTTTAGAAAACTGACAGTCTTCATTTTAAGCTACAATGTAAAGTGCTTTATCCTGAGATTAGGTATTGTGGCAGAAGCTAAAACTGCCTTTTTCCCCTAACCGTGCCAGAATACAACCTCCTTTTCTTTTTGCACTAACAAGACTGCTTTACCACCACAGCCCACTCTAAGTAATTAAATCAATCCTTTGTACTTACCGTATTCTCCTCTAGTGACGGTACTAGATCTGATTATATGCTTCATGCATATTCAAAGTACGGCACTGACAGCTCTTTAATGAGCTCTTACTTAATCAGTACGAACAATGTTCATCTTGTTCTTTTTTTCCTCATACATTAGAGCTAGGAACAGTTGGGGAAAAAATGAAACATCCAGCATTCATTTGAAAAATATATTGTACTTTGAAAAGTGTCTAAGCTGGGGAAGTTGCATTCTGCCCTTTAAAAGTCTGATGGACAAATTGGATTACTAGTATTGGATTAAATAACAAATGGTTAGAGGAGAAATGAGAAAAGCTCGCTGTGATCACAGGCTTTAATATTTTTTGTTACTTATAAAGCTGAAGGGGTCTTTAACCAGTTATTAAAGTCAGGATTAATTTGTAATGGTCCAACTTACTAGCTTTAAAAGGGTTTTGTTGTTGTTGTTGTTGTTGTTGTTTTTTATCAAAAACAATAGCGTAATGCATGTATTATGGAAAAAAAAATTAAGTTTAAGATCTGTGGGCTATTTATAGATTTTCATCGTCTTGTACTGGCTCAGATAAGGGGTTTGCATGCATGGGATCGATTTGTTCTCAAACATGTTTTTCGCTTCATTTAAATAATCTGTACAGTATTTTTTTTTCCCCGAGAACAACACAGGTATTTTCCCAATTCTAATTTCCAAGCATTTATAGCAAGTCAATTAAATACTTGTTTTACACTTGAAAGTGGGAACAAAACCAACCCCAGCAGCAGCAGGGTTTTACAGAGTGTAACTGTGTTGAAGAAAGGCTTTTTCTAAATTTTTTATTTAGAAGTTGGAAATGTGAGTTTAGCTTGCAATATCGCTGCAGTAACAACACTCAGTTTTTCTTTGTTGAAAGTGTTTCGTGTGCACCCTTCCACCAAGGGGAAAAAAAAAATAAGTAATGTGCTAATGGCACTGTATTTGCTGAAAAGGGTTACTTAAATTTTTTTATATATGGTAGTTCATCTTTATTTTGCTTGCCTGGGAAGAATCTGTTTCAGCTCCATGCGCAAGAATTTAAAAGCTGACGGTCAACAAATAAAATATCAGCATCGACTGCTATTAATATTGCACACATGTGTCATTTCACTGATCAAAAAGGCCTTCGCCAGGGTACAATTGGCCTTTTTCCAAATTGCAAGCTTTTTCTCAGCTTTTTCTTTTTTACTCTTTCTTCTTTTGTTGCTGCCCGGGGATTTGTGCCTATCGCAGCCGATATCACATGACCGGTGTCAGGGCATCACATGGGTCCAAAGCGAATACAAAAACAGATTAAAAATTCCGTTAAAACAATCAAGACTTTGTTAACTCACTTTTAAACCAGCCTATTCTATGGATATTGCGTGTGTTTCGGTGTCAGCATGGAAATATCAAAATAGGCACCTGTTCAGATCTGCTTTGCCATCTCCAAGCTTTATCTAGATCTGTTCTTATTATATGTTGCAACTAACTTTATTTAGGAGGAATGCATTAGTAGAAAGAAGTTTATGTTCTTACCCTGAGATTGCATGGCATGAAATTCAAGTTCAGATCCACTGTTGAGTCAAACTCCTTTGAAACATTTCTGTCTCTCATTTCTTTTTCAAGGCTTGCAAAATGAAATGCAGCAAGAGCTTGCGTTTATAATGGCATCTTTTAGCCAGAGATCCCAGACCACCCCAAAACCAACAAATTTAGTGTCATAAATTGATTAAAATGTTACTATGGCCACGTATGTCTGGTTGTGAGAACTTTTTTTCACCGGCAGTGTGGCGATCTCATGCGTCACAGAATAGACTGGTCATTTTGCAAGGATAAAAAAGGCAATCTATCCCCTTTTTCTTTCCCTCTCCCCCAAATAAATTCCAGCTACTTGGTGCATTTCAATGAAAGGTTGCTAATATTGATTATCATCTACTTCTAAAAGCAGACCCTGTTGGATGGACCAATACAGCAACACCTTTGATCTGTAACTTAACAGCAAAGTGTACTTATAAGTTTTAATCCTCCTTGGGGGAGTGCTGAACTGCTGAATATTATTGTAAGTGCCGTGACGTAGTATTTTCTGCACAAAACCAGAAGCTGGAGATCTTGGGGGAGAGCATTTCTACGTGACAAATTTCTTCTTTCATTGCTCCATCGAGCAGGTCCAGGAGCTGGACCCTGCTGCTTCTGCTTGGAAAAAGGCTGCGGGGCCATCCCCACTTTAGGATGCTCTGCCCTTCCCATCTCGCCACTAGCAAATCGTGTACCCTACAGGCACCCTGCCAAGGAACAGTTTCATCAACCAGGAGCTTCCCAGGGTGATAAGTGGATATGGGGGCATGCCTCGTATCAGAAAGAAGAGCACACCAAGTGGCGTAACTTTTTCTTACTGTGTGGGTCCACCAGCTCCACCCCAAGCTGACCCACTCCCCTGTTCATCTCCCCTACCTTCTCTTGTGTGGATGCACCAAGCCCACAGGCCACGGCAGGGGGAATCAAACAGTTTGGAGAAGACCTGTGACCTTCCCTTGCACGCAGCAGGGTCATAGGCAGGTGAGGAGGTGGTTCTCCATGCAGATCTGGGCTTGCACACTACCATGGCATTGGGGTGTGAACGTGCGCGTGGCAGGCACGTACGTGCAAGCATTTCGAACGCTCCCATCCAGAAATCGAAAGCTTTCTTTTAGAGCAAAACAATATTTTTTCTGGTGTCTTTCCAGCTTCTGGTGCTGGAAATTGCTTCTCTGCAACTAGGGATCCTATGGTTTAAGTTAGTAAGATAGCTTCCCCGAGTGTACAGCGCCTTGCATCAGAGATTTCAAAACATCAAAGAATTAACTTTTAGCACCCTTGCAAGATCGGTACAGGTGATTATCCCCGTATTACACACAAGGTGCATAAACTCAGAGATCTGCCCACAGTCTCCCAGTGAAGCAGCGTCGAAGCTGGGAGAAGTACTCAGAAGACCCAGCTCATGCTCCTTTGCTGCTATTCCAGGTTTATTCCCAGGTTAATTTTAACTGTAATAAATGAGTGAGTTTCATAATTCAATGAGTCTTTACTCCTGAGCTCAACTTGAGAGATGAGAATGGCAAGTCACTACAGAGGTAGAGTCTCCACAAAGGAATTTGATGAGGTTTCTCCTAGTCCCTGAGCTCAGAGAGAGTGAAATTTGGCTGAGCGACCCTGCTACGTGGAAAGGATAGTCAGGAGCCTTCTGGGCACTCCTCTGCCTTTTCCCCACATCGCCTGATGGTGCAGAGGTGGTAACGTGGAGTCTTATAGAGTCTGGTAGAGTGTAGCACTGCCTGCAGGTAGGCTATGGAGGGTCCTGATCCTGATCCTACCTGGAAGGCAATGATGGACGTGGGCTGGGGAAAGGGATGCTAGTCCATGCATACACACATGGGGACCCTTAGGCACCTGGACCCCAAAATCATTTGTGTTTGGGCTCCCTTTGATTGTGGGTGAAGAGGGGAGCAGCTCTTTCCAGCTGATTGTCTGGAAGAGTGGCCATAAGCACAGAGAAGCTGAGCAGGTGCCTGCGCCTTGGCCAAGGGTTCAGGATTACCATCTCCTCTGCAGCTACTTTGATCCCTGCCACGTCATCCTGAATGCGCTGGGTTTGCATGGGTGGAGTGGCTCTTGCCCACAAGGATTGTTTTTGTGTTTGGAAGACTGGGATGACCAGACATCTTTTAGCAGCAAGGTTTTTTCATTAGGAACATCACAAGTATAGTTCTTTTGGGAGAATTTAAAAGATACAGTACTTTTTAAAAGGTGTTTATTTAGATCAGGGTATCAGCATGATAAAGAACACTAAACTGTATGCTGAAGAATGGCTGCTTTCAAAGATTGATTTATGGAGCAAGCAGGATTGGGCGGCAGGACTTGTAGTCATATGATATTTTTACCATTTGAGAGTACGCCTTGTAATGCTCAATGATATTGGAGACTGATACTCCAAAACCTGAAATGAAATATGTAGCTCAATTTGTGAAATGCCACATAAGTAATGAAATTCTTTCGATTGCAGGAAGAAACACAGAAGAAGAAGAAGCTATGATGCAGGAATGGTTCATGCTGGTTAATAAGAAGAATGCCTTAATAAGACGAATGAACCAGCTTTCTCTTCTGTAAGTATGGATAGCTACATGTATTTACAAAAGGATGATTTACTGGAATATTTACCCAGCAGAGAGATGCAAAACTTTTTTGTTTTCTTTCCATTAGTCTTCAAAAATGCTCCCTCAAAAGTGAGTAGCATGGATGATTTGTGGAACGCATCGAGTAACTTGTTTTTCTCATATTTCAGACTTGAAAATGAGAAGCATGCAATGACACAAGATTAGGCAGAGCTATCAAAAAAAAAAAATTAAAGAAATATTAAGCACAGTTACATTTTCAAAGGCCCAACAGTAGAATAAAATTACATTTTAGAAATGCGCAGAGATTTGGATTGTGCCTCAGATGTGACAGGTGAAGACTATTTGGAGAGAGAGCAAAATTTAAGTCGCTACCTGCTTCGTAGAAATCCTCAATCCCATCACCAGTTCAGCAGCACCGGACTGCTGAAAGGATATTAGTGAATCGGTCATGGTGCGATGATACCACCGATACTGCAAAGTAAGGACAAATAAACTTTTTTCGCTAGCACCGGCGAGGAAGGGAGAAGACGCTGCTCGTTTTTAGAGGCCTTCTGCCCTCAGTGCTTCTTTTCCAGCTTCTTTCAGTTTGATTATATTTCTTTCAGTAATGCCACCTAGTGTAGATGCCTGCATACTTCCCTGGGAAGAGCCTGTGCTCACAAATTTCCTACCATGTCTGAACTTGACAGAATATTCTACCTTCAAAATATTAAGCTTTCTAATCCCGTGTCTAATTTTCATTATTCATTAGGGCAGAATGTATATAGGATAATACTTCCAGTGTCTTATTATCTTGGTGAATAGGCTGAGGCTAGAATTTGTTCATTAGATCCGGGGCAATGTTTTATACTTAGGACATTCTACAACAGCCGCTTCAAGGATATATATGAAATAATTACGTCCTGTAGCACAATAGAGTTAAACTGACAGAATTAAAGCCGACATTATAGAAAATGAAAAGGCCCTGTTACTGAATATGCCACCTGAGCAAGGTTTTAAGTTTGTGTATCATTTGTTTGGAGTAGCTTAAAGTTAAAGAGAAAAGTCAGTTACGAATCCTAAAATCAATGTAAGTTAAAGGTTCTTTTAAGTGTTTAATGATTTAGTAATTAACATATTGATGAACTTTTGCAACTTGCCTAGGGAAAAAGAACATGACCTAGAAAGGCGCTACGAACTGAAAAACCGGGAGCTAAGAGCAATGCTTGCTATTGAAGGTAAGAGCAATGCTGGGTACTGAGGGAAGGAAAACGCTTGCTGCCGAAGGTGGCTACCTGAAAGTACCAAACATGGAGGGTGTTCTGAAGCCTGGTTAAGAATTAATGCCGATATTTACATCATTTCAAGTGGTAGCACACAGCAAATACACTGGGTGCACAATCCCATTAAGTTTTATTCGGCGGGGGAAAAAAAAGTCCAAGATATGGGACAAAGAAATACGGTCTCCTTGGAATAAACTTTGAAAACAAAGTGATGAGGAGGTAGAGAATATTTGTCCGGGGTTTATTATTTTTTGTTGCAGTAATGCTCTCCTGGCTTTGCTGCAGCATCGCGCTGCTTTGGGTGCCGCAGAAAATGGAAGGGGTGACCCACAGAAGGGAGCCTCCTTCCTTTTAAAGTTTCAGACCTGTTTTACAACAGTATCTCACTGGGGAAAAAAATCTCATCGGTTTTGGTGGTAAAACACTACGTTTGCCAAGTAAATATTTCATCGCAAGCAACACCAGGATTAGTGCAATCCTTTGCACAGATTTTCTCCCTTCTCTGGAACTCTCCCGAGTTTAGTCACCTTACCTGAATGAAAACTCATGGGAAGATTGACACGCGGGATAAATGAAACAATTGCATCCTTTCCATAGGGCTTTCAAGTGAATTGTACAATAATCCTGGGGATGATTCATAATAAAAAATAAACATCCAGATAGCTTAAACCATTGCTTGCATTATTTTCTTATTTAAATATCTTAAGTGTTTTCTAATGCTGCACCGCTTATACCTCTCAGTCACAAATGCTGTCTTATAGTTCAAAGATGTTTGCTTAAAAGTTAATCCTTTGGGCTCTGTAAAATGGACCTTTTGTCTAATCAATGCAAATTGATTTTGCTATTCTGTATTGACCTCTCAACCCTTTGACTGTCCATGGTAATTTCTTTCTTCACCTGATAAGGTACCTGATCCATAATAAATCAATTCTAATTAGTTTGGAGACTTCACTGGGAGCATAAGTTTGTAGGAAAAAAGCAGCAGGTTTCAGGTAGCTTTTTCATATCTCTCCATCTGTGGTTATGTTTTTTGCATAAGACTACGTTCACTATGTTCTTGGATAAACTTGAGTCATAAATATATACATTGCTTTCTGCAGAGACAAGCCAGTTTAACTGGGAATCGTACTAATGAAATATTTAAAACATAAAATACTCTAAAACCAGAGAGGAGTTAAGAGATATTGGATTTAAATCTGAAATTTCAATGCTTAATTGCCTCTTACACGTTTTACTGTCTTGGAACGTCCTAGCAGCAACCTTTGACTGTCTAGCAGCCTATGCCATTCACACGCTGACTTGAACAAAAATCTGTCCTTTTTTAATTTCTTTTTTGTAAGTTCAGAGGAAGATGCCAAAACCCAGGAAGGTCCTCTTTTCTTTTCTTTTTTTTTTCTTTTTTTTTTTTTTGTGTGTGCTACTGGTGATATGGTAAACAGGGGTTTAGGGAGAAAACATAAGTGCTGGAGAATTTTGGTTTTGGTTTTTATTTATACAACAAAGTCCGTGTTTAGCATTTTAACACTCAGTAAGATTCTTAGTTTACTAGAAGTTTTAGCAGCTATCTGCTTTTACCTAAAAAACATTAAAGGAGAAACTCTCCCAAGAAAATGCCTGTAAAATGTCAAAATACGTTTGTGACACCTCGCCTCTCGGTGTGTGTGTCAGCGCTGTATCACTTTCTGTGTCCGACATACGCTGGGGTGCAAAGATGCACTTTTTGGGAAGCACCGGTAAAACCACACCATTAATAATATGATTTCCCCGAAGAAGCATGGGCTGCCCAAACAGCCCGGCGCTGTCTGCTCCGAGGCCATTTAGCCAATTGCTAATGAGCGCTTGTGCTCCATGAAAGAGTTGAAAAGACAGATCTCACTTTTACCGGCACCAATTTCAAACGTGAAATATATGAGCAGGAAAAAAAAAAAATATATAACAGGACGGGACCGGTTTGTTTGTCTAAAAGAAAGGCAGAACGCACCAACCCAAACTGGAACTTAAAAAAAAAAGTCTTTGAAAGGTGATAATTACCGTTTTGGTAAATTGCTCCAACTCTTCCACGCGTGACTGTGCTGTTTAAAAATCTATCAACCAATTTACTTAGCTAGTTGATGACGGGGGGGGGGGGGTGG